CGACTTTACCTGTATATCAGAAGTCCAGTTATTTATACCAGGCATGATTTCTGTGTTGCAGCTATAAAAGCCTGCCAAAAAACACATTATCAAAAAAAACCTCAGAGAGCATATTATCGGAAAACAGCAAAAATATTACATGACACACATCAGTTCTGGGATCACCAAATTCTTGACTTTGGAGGTTGGAAGACAGATCTACAAACCTAGTTGCTCATTCACCCTGGTTGAGTTAAACCAACTACTGTTGGAATAAGAAGGCATTAATAGCATTTTGTCATTTCACAAGTTCATTAAAAACATCTAGCTCTCGTCAATGCACAGAAAATCTCCCAAATACCATTGTAACGTATGTCCATGACCGGCGTTTCCCAAATACAGCTTACTACGGCCTGAACTCTCTCTAGAAGTAAAAATGACTGAGCTGAGACTATCGTGCTTTGGTCATATTATGAGAAGACAAGAGTCACTGGAAAGGACAATAATGCTAGGAAACACTGAAGGCAGCAGGGAAAGATTTTTGAGGAAGACCCAACAAGAGATGGATTGACTCAGTCAAGGAAGCCATGGCTCTCAGTTTGCAAGACCTGACCCAGGCTGTTACTAATAGGACACTTTGGAGGACATGGCCCATCCAGTCCAACACTCTGTGTCACACAGTGGCCAAAAACACCAGGAGCCGTCAGGAGGTCCAGCAGTGGGGCCAGGGCACTAGGAGCCCTCCCACTGTTGACCCCCCCCCCAGCACCAAGAATACAGAGCATCCCTTGCCCCAGACCGAGAGTTCCAACCTATAAGGTTTCCCTTGCTCGAAAGCTAGTCAAATCCGACTATAGGGGGTGGTGCTCATCTCCGTTTCCAAGCTGAAGAGCCAGCAGTCATGTGGTCGTGTGGCCGGCATGTCTAAACACCGAGGCGCAAGGAACGCTGTTACCTTCCCACCGAAGTGGTATCTATCTTTCTACTTGTAATTTCTTGTTTTCAAACTGCTAGGTTGGCAGGAGCTGGGGCCAGAGATGGGAGCTCACACCACCACGCGACACTAGGGTCTCAAACAGTGTTCCCTCTAAGCTGACTTAGTGTGAGCTAGCTCACAGTTTTTTAGCCTTCGGCTCAGACATTTTTGTCTTAGCTCAGGAAGGATGGCTCCAGAGCAAACTAATTTATGCAGCAGCCAAATCGCTCGCTCACAACTTTAATGCCAGTAGCTCACAAAGTAGAATTTTTGCTCACAAGACTCCACAGCTTAGAGGGAACATTGGTCTCAAACCGCTGGACTACAGACCTTCTGGTCTGCAGCTCAGCATCTTAACCTCTGAGCCACCATGGCCTTGTTTCTATCTATACCATGTGGCTAATAGTTACTGATGGACCTCTGCTCCATATGTTTATCCAATTCCTTCTTGAATGCTTATACCCAGAATTAAACTTTGTTAGTCTTAAAGGGGCCACTGGACTCATACTTTGTTCTACCCCACCCCGCAGTCTCCCTGGTAGAAGTAGAAACCATGGACACTAGAGGGGGGAAATATTAAGTGATCTATGTGCAGGGATTCCTACATTAAGGGATTAAAGCACACCCAAACACTGACTAGTTTCTCCAGTGTCTACCAAGTGCAGATATCAGAGAGAATTTTTGTTATTGCTAATGTGACTGGGCATTTCTGCGCTTCTGCACAAAAGCAAATCCCAGCCTCCTACAAGATATTCAAAAAACGATACACATGCATGCTGAAGAGACTTATTTTTAAGACTACACTAGAGAGACTACACTAGACTACACTCCTATATGAGGGTGCCCAAATGTGCTATGTATTTTTACTTTTCATCTCTCAAGATCTGTGGTCTCTGCAGACATGGCGAGAGGGGAAAAGAAAAGAGAACAGTGGACTTGGTTGGACTGCTCATCAGAAGCTCTGAAGTTTGGCTGGTAAGCAAATCAGCATCATAATGTGCGCGGCATTTGAACTTTTCTGCATGGCCTGGTGCTGAACCAGCTGAGGAGCATCAGACCAACTGCCGAATCTCTACTGACCTAAAGGGTAACAGATTCCTATACGCCATAACGTGACCCAGTTAATTTGGTGTTCTGACCCAAGTGCTTATACTCAAAGTAACGTGCTCCCTCTTTTCCATTTCCCTTTGCTAACAGTTTGGACTTGAACCAGACAGGTGATGGCTGGAGGCAAAAACTTAAGTCTGGTGAACTGTACTGAGTCCTTCGAGCTTCTGATGGGAATAGAAGATGTTAGGCACTATGGCCGGTAGACGGTGTCAATCATCTACATTAGTTCAGCATGAAGTAAAACTCCGCTTATGAGGCAGGAGGTGAAACTGACCAGATTTCTGGTAATACACATTCACAAGGGGGGGGGGGGAGACAAGACAAGCAGGGGAGTAAAATCCCATCCCCATTCCATTGCTGAGCCTGAGGCTCCAGACCCCACCAGAAGAGAAGAAGAGAAGAACCCTTCACTACCCAAAGGTGTCTCAGAGCAGCTTGCAAACTCCTTTCCCTTCCCCTCCCCACACCCTGTGAGGTAGGTGGGGCTGAGAGAGCTCTGACAGAAACTGCTCTTTTTCAAGAACAGCTGTGCCAGAACTGTGGCTTGCCCAAGGTCATCCAGCAGGTGCAAGTGGAGGAGTGGGGAATCAAACCCGGTTCTCCCAGATTAGAGTCCGCGCTCCTGACCACTACACCAAACTGGCTCTCAGAACAGAGTTTCATGCACTTACTTTCCCTCTCAGAAACTGCTCTTTTTTCAAGAACAGCTGTGCCAGAACTGTGGCTTGCCCAAGGTCATCCAGCAGGTGCAAGTGGAGGAGTGGGGAATCAAACCCGGTTCTCCCAGATTAGAGTCCGCGCTCCTGACCACTACACCAAACCACGCACTACACCACCCACCTTACTGCCTGGTGGTGGCAGCAGCAGCAGTGCCCTGCAGCTGGCGCCGGGCCTCGAGCAGCTCCTGGTATTTGCCACTGCCAGTTCTACTGATAAGTCTGCTGTCTGTGTATGTGCAGATGACACCTTTTTAAAAAAAAAACTGGTGGGGATTTTAATCCCCAATGTATTTTTTTTAACATTTCAGATTTTACTGCAAACCTGGGCAGCCCCCCAAGTTTGCAGAAAAATCTGTCTAGTGTCAGTGTGGCCCCGATCTGCAGATTTAGGTATTCGCAGGGGGGGGGGGGCACACATTGCTAACAGATATACAGATTAGCAGAGCAGTTTGCAATTCGTTCTTCCTGCTGTACTTCAGGCTCCAGTTCAGTGCCCTAACATCAACTAGATTGAAAAACATACAGCTCTAGGTCTAGATCCAGTTCAGTGAATGGCTCTCATTTACTATTATGGATGGCGATAAAGGTGGGCTTGTTTTTCGCAGAAGGGAAAACACTGTGGCGGGATCACAATGAGAAATGTTTACGTACCAAATGTTCAGCTCCCTAATGAGAAATATGAATGATCGTGCCTTTCTAAATATCAGTTAAAGACACTCAAAAATATTATGTACTTTATGAAAGCTGGGTGCAGTTTCAGTACGTTGTACGCAGAACTGGGGCGTTAATCCTCAGCAAAACTAATGTCTAGTGAGGGCATAAAAAGAGGCTTATCTCTTGCTTTTATTTATAAGTCCCAGGAAGTTATAAATAGTTGGTGAGAAAAATGAGCTTAATCCAGGCATCAATCACACACAGTCCTACACCGATAAGACTGGCCCCATTAACAGCACGTACAGGATTTGGGAGATGAGACTGCCAACTGTATCAGACAAGAGTCAACCCTGACCTCATGTGAGAGTGAATTAACTCTTGTGTGCATGTGAATGAGACACACACCCTCATAAGCAACCAAAAACTATGGCAACACACACCCAGACAACTCTTGCTGAAATGTACAGCACTAAGTAATATGCACAGAGGCTTACAGAAGTCAAGCAAGTGCTTCTAGGGTTGTACAAGTCAGGCTTTCAGCTTTTGTCTCAGAACATAGGTCAGGATTGGGGTGGGGAAGCTATCATGGAGAGATGTGACTAATGAATCAGACTTCTAACCCATTGTGGTTTGGGGTCAGGGCAACAGAGACAGAGCCGAAGATCAGGAACACACTTAACAAGGTCATATATTGTGAGAGTCTAAAAGGGGGTTCTATTCACACAAAAGACTAATTCAGAACTGGAGTCAACTGTCCTTGCTGAGAACAAACAGATCAAACGAGAACAGAAAAGCACAGAGGCTGAGTCAGGGTTTCAAAGAAAGGCAAAGGGAGGTATAGTTGGAAGGTAAACAGAGAAGCAAAGAGATGATTTTGTCTCCACCAGATGGTTCTTCCATCAATTTCCATGCTACGTGCACATAAAAATATTTACAGAATGAGTCATGCTACGTAAAAACAGGCTGCTTGCCTGTAACTGGTGATCTTCGAGTGGTCATCTGTGCAGTCACACACATGGGATCAGCGCAGGCGCATAATCCCATGGGTGGGATGCACAGAGACCACAAAGAAGTTAAACAGGTTGCTTGCCTGTAACTGGTGATCTTCGAGTGGTCATCTGTGCCGTCACACCATGGGATTATGCGCCTAAGATGATCCCATGGGTGTGATGCAAAGAGACCACGAGGAAGATCTGATAGTTCTGTAGCAGTGTGTGCACACACACACACACACACACAAATGTATGATAAATCCGGTGGCCTGATCCCACATCAACTAGGAATGGGTGACTATTCCATCTCCTATATCAGGAAGGACCTTAGGTGAATGAACGATGTATTCTTGCTGGTAATAGTAAGACTGGCAGATTTACAGACTCAGATTAAGTTTTCCAGAACTCTGCAAATAATTATTCTGCAGCAGAATAGGAAATTTGAAAAAGAGAAGAGATTGGATTTATACTCCACTTTTCACTTGGAGTCTCAGAGCGGTTTACAAACTCCTTTTCCCCTCCCCACAACAGACACCCTGTGAGGTAGGTGGGGCTGAGAGAACTCTGACAGAATCTGCTCTTTCAAGGACAGCTCTGACAGAACTATGGCTTGCCGAAGGTCATCCAGCAGCTGTAAGTGGAGGAGTGGGGAATCAAACCTGGTTCTCCCAGATTAGAGTCCGCACAGTTAACCACTACACCAAACTGACCAAGACCCTGCTAGTCACTTTTCTTGGCGAGAATGGAAATACTTTTCACTAAAAGCCAAACAAATCGAGCAAAAACTAATTGCCACAATAAGACTAACCCTTAATTTTATGCTAGGATTCTTTGTTACAAGAGTTGCTTTTGTTTGGCTTACATCAGTGTCGTTACAGAATGATGTGACAGACAAACATTTGTCATCCCGTCAAAAGAGGTAAATCCAAATTTCCAAGACAGCATTTAAAAGAAATTTATAGCAAGCTGTAAAATGAACACGAAGCAGCTCATATGGACTCGGCATACTGCAAGCTGATTTTGTTGCACTTTTATGTACTTTGAATAACGTATTAACTGCTGCTCATCGAGTGGTGTTCTGTCCATGTGGGACTGCACAGAAGCCACGACGATGAAGATATACCCGTAGCATCTTTTTACTGTTTAAAGTTTAAGTTTTAAAATAGAATACTGCAACAACAAATGCTTTTTATGGAGTTGCACAAAAACTCGGAAATATTTTGTAAGTACATGGAAAATGCCCATTATGCATCAGATAATAAATGTCCTCTGAACAGGAGTTTATATCTATCTATAAACATGCTTCCAATTGAGATCAGAGCGCTACAAGACCTGTTACAGTTTTGCAAGGCCTGCAAAACGGACTGTTCCACCAGGCCTTTGATTGAGGCAGAGGGCGGCTACCGGCTATTACTGCTGCTGCATGAGACCACTATGGCTCGGCGCTGGCCCACTCATTTCCCAGCTGTAGGAACTGAAACTGTATATACTGCACTGCCCACTTTAAATGTTTTAAATTGGTTTCACTGTATTGATTTAATATTTAATATTGTTATTTACTGTCTGATTGAATTATTTTAACATTGTATTGAATCTACTGCTGTGAGCCGCCCTGAGCCCACTTGTGGGACGGGTGGGATATAAATGGAAATAATAAATAAATATATATATTTCTACAACATTAGAAGGTGTTTATGGTGTTCGCCACACACTCCGAGGAGGCAGCAGGGATGGTGCTTCATAATGAAGGAGGAGGGCAAAAGAACCCCTACAGGCTGGATACAGGGAGGGAGTTCATGAAGTTTTGTTGCCTTCTTCCTCTGTAATGCAGCAACTTTTACTCCCTGAAAAACTGCTGCTGACAGCTGAGAAATCTGTGGATGAATGAGGGGTGTGGCATGGAGAACTGCCCCCCCCCCAGCCCCAGCTTACGCAAGAAGAGCAAGCCCCACAAAAGGGCACACTTTGGAGAGGGGGGGAGAAGGGAGATTCCCACCGATCCCTCTTTCTTCCTGCAGACCGTCACACCACTTCCCACGATGTGACTGAGACTCCTACAGCCCTAAGGACTGGCTGTCTAGAAGGCTGTTCTGGGAAAGCAGCAGAGACGGTTCTCCATAAACTCGTTCTATTTCCAGAAGAGCTGGATCCAAGCCATGCATGCTAAAGTTTATGCAATTAACTTTGGCAGTAACGTGACACAATCTGTGTGAATGAATGAGAAAATCCAGCCTAGCACGACATCCAAATACATACATCATATCAAAATTTCATTCATTCATTCATCCATTTATTTATTTATTTATTATTTCGACTTACTATACCGCCCTAACCCCGAAGGGTCTCTGGGCGGTTTACATGGTATGTTCTAAGAACACTCAATTTAATACTTGTAAAGCCTGAAAAATCATTGGGATGACTGTGTCCTACATTATAGGGCTGTTTCACAATACAAATGATCATGACTGCCTACCTGCACCCTAGTGGTGGGCCAGTTGTAGCTTTTTGTAGTTTAGCAGAAATTATGTAGTTATGTAGTTTAGTAGAAATTTAGTAGAAATTATGACGTTGAAATCAGCCACTATTTATGGACTGCCATTAACAGATCTATGTTAACGTTAATTTTAAAGAATCCTTAATGTAGCTGTGGTGGGCACCAAGTTTGACTGGAGCAGCAACACTGTTGTGAGAGGATCCCTTTCATGCTATTCCTCCCAAACCCTCCCCATATTATTTCCCCAAACTATTCTATTGACTTGGCGCATGCAGTCACCATTGTCTTTTTCTTGCATTTCTGCTTGCACAAGATCTCTAGTGCAAGCAGAAATGTTGTGCTGGATCCAACCCATTATCCCTCACCCTGAGCACATTATTTATTTATTTATTTATTTATTTCATTGTATTTATATCCCGCCTTTACCGCGAACGGGATCGGGGCCGCTTACACAAGGCACAAAGTGCATACAGTATATAAAATAGATAAAAACAGTTAAAAACAGTTAAAAATTCAATTCCATCAGGATGCAAGAATAGAAAACTCCCACCATCTTGCATAACAGAGGGGAGGGCTAGGGCCGTAGATAGATGGTACCCGGCCCTCCGGCGGTATCGCTCTATAATGGAGCAGTGGTGGTAGTGGCGGCTCCTATTCAAATGCCTGGTGGAAGAGCTCCGTCTTACAGGCCCTGCGGAACTGCGAAAGGTCCCACAGGGCCCTGATCTCCTCCAGGAGCTCGTTCCACCAGATAGGAGCCACCACTGAAAAGGACCTGGCCCTCATTGTAGCAAGCCTGGCCTTCTTAGGGCCCGGGGTCACCAGCTGGTGTTGTGACCCTGACCGAAGTGCTCTTTGGGGAATATGTGGGGAAATGCGGTCCTTCAGGTATGTGGGACCCTGGCCATGTAGGGCTTTAAAGGCCAAGAAGCGACAGTTAGAACCGGATATGGAACAACTGATTGGTTCAGCATAGGAAAAGGAGTACGACAAGGATGTATATTGTCGCCTTGCTTATTTAATATATATGCAGAGTACATCATGCGAAATGCTGGCCTGGATGAATCACAAGCGGGAATTAAGATTGCTGGGGAAAAGATCAACAACCTCAGATATGCAGACGATACCACTCTAATGGCAGAAAGTGAAGAGGACCTAAAGAGCCTCTTGCTCAGGGTAAAAGAGGAGAGCGCAAAAGTGGGCTTGAAGCTCAACATCAAAAAAACTAAGATCATGGCATCCGGCCCCATCACTCCTTGGCAAATAGAAGGGGAAGCTGTGGAAGTAGTGACAGACTTCACGTTCCTGGGATCCCAGATCACTGCAGACTGTGACAGCAGTCATGAAATTAAAAGACGCCTGCTCCTTGGGAGGAAAGCGATGGGGAACCTAAACAGCATGATAAAAAGTAGAGACATCACCCTGCCAACAAAAGTCCACATGGTCAAAGCAATGGTATTCTCAGTAGTCATGTATGGCTGCGAGAGTTGGACTATAAGGAAGGCCGAGCGCCGAAGAATAGATTCTTTTGAACTATGGTGCTGGAGAAGACTCTTGAGAGTCCCTTGGACTGCAAGAAGATCAAATCAGTCAATCCTAAAAGAAATCAACCCTGACTGTCCTCTGGAAGGCCAGATAATGAAACTGAAGCTCAAATACTCTGGCCACCAAATGAGAAGGGAGCACTCACTGGAGAACACCCTGATGCTGGGAAATATTGAAGGTCAAAGAAGACAGGGACGGCAAAGGATGAGATGGTTAGACAGTGTCATAGATGCAACGAACATGAAGTTGAGCCAACTTCAGAGGACGGCGGAAGACAGGAAGGCCTGGCGTGATCCGGTCCATGGGGTCGCAAAGAGTCGGACTCGACTGTGCGACTGAACAACAACAACAACATGGGGTTTTCAAGGCAAGAAACGGTTAGAGGTGGTCTGCCATTGCCTGCCTCTAGTCAAGCCCTAGGAGAAGGCAATTCCCCCTGAGAAAGTGAATGGGAAATCCAGGCACTCTTTGCTTCTGCACATGCTTTGTTCTTCACAGTCTCTTCTGCCTACTGGCACATCCAGCATGAATCCCGGGTAGTGCGGATGGGTTCTTTGGATGTACCTCTCTATAGGAAACACAAGCTTGGGATGCAGCAGGGACTGGAATAGAGCAAGTCATTATAGTCGGACAAGCCCAGAATGACTCTTAACACATGCTGGTTGCCTGCAGTCTGTTGCCAACTTTAAAAAAGAGCTTCATGCACTTATCTTACTTCCTTCCAACTTCCCTCTCCGCCCATCTTCATGGTCCATTCCCTGCTAGTTCATACCACACAGACCTGGGCTTCAATCAAAACTGTTCATCAACTACATAATTTCACTTACAGGGGGGTTAACTTCATAGAGCTCCTTATTTTTGGCTATTGTATCATTGATTTTCTTCTGCATGTGCGATACATGTTGTTCATAAGAGGCATCGTTCGGAGTCTTTCCAGCAATTTGAATACCACCAGGGGCTGGAAGAGCAGCCAGATAAACACCTGTGGCAGACTTTAAAAAAAAAAAAGCCAGTAAGAAATGAAGTACAAAATATGTTCTTGAATGTACATGATCTAATTTAACTGATATAGTGAAAGGAAAATGTCACACACTGTTGCTGATGTGTTACATTATTTAAACTTGAACAGCACAACCATAACTCTTTAGCTCTGGTATGCTGATATTTACCTGTAGAAACAGCATATATTTTTTTTAACAAAAAACCCTAAATCTTTGTTTCCATCAGCAAATTATAAATCTAGAAAGAGATATACACAACCAGGATTGCCGAAAGAAAGAAAGAAAGAAAGAAAGAAAGAGAGAGAGAGAGAGAGAGAGAGAGAGAGAGAGAGAGAGAGAGATATTTCTGCACTAAAGGCTAAAATTTATGGGCTAGGAATGTGGGAAATGCAGGAAAACAAGAAAACTGGAAATTTTGGGGAGCACTGAAAAAAACTCCAGTGAAATATTTTCTATTTCTGAATGAGTGAAATGCTTTTAAAGACAAGGTGGACATGTTGTAAAACCAAGATGTATTTCTGCACCTAGAAGGATGCCTAATCTTCATGAGAGAAGCATGCTTACAGATTTCTCTCAAGTATTGGGTATATTTGTAATTTCACTTGTACAAAACTAAGGTACTGATACCTTTTAAATCCCATAAATATGTCAAATATTTTTAAATAAATTTTATTAAATGTTCAATTGTTTGAAATACATAATAACAAGATCAACTCAGTGAACTACAGCATGTACATAAACTGTTAAGTTTGAAATTCAATTGAGGGTAGGCATTACTAGATACAGTGAGACAGGAGGATTGAAAAGTGTTTTCTGTAACCCAAGTGGTGCTGAACGGTTACAGTTTACAATCACGATTGAATCTTTGTGACCTCATAATACTACCTAATCCATTTTCCCAGAAATAAGGACCATTTTTCTAAGGGATTATATAACTCTCTCTTATTTCGGCTCTCATCAAAGAAAACTACACATTCTTCAAATATGTCAAATATTGCAATTTTGTATGCTGTCAGTTATAAATGGTGCATTTCATGTTGTTAAAGCAATAAAATCAGTTTGTTTGATAGGGCAGTAAGTATTGCACGTATTTCAATTCTTTCCAAAATTTCGGTTCCCCCCCCCCAAATGGGGAAAGTGTGTGTGTGTCCGTGTCCCCGTGGGTTCAAAACTTTCAGAAATTTTACACGTCTAGTCACAGTCATCAAGATTTGCCAAGAATGCTTTCTTGACTGTGCCGTTCATATAATAAGGAAGGATATGTATTGAGGCATTTATGCTGACTTCTCCAGAGATGTGGAACTCCTCTCCCCTAAATACTTCAGTATCGAATCTGGCTGCTAATTCATCACTTCTGGATCACTTTCTAGGGGATACAATGACTTCTAAAGATACAGAAGTTGGCCATCCATAACTCTGATGTCTGAGCCTGCATACTTTCCATAAGAGCTATAAATCTTTCCTCCTCGGGCTGGTGTTCAACAGCCAGTTATAAGTAGGTATGGGGAAACTCAATACATAATTGGGTACTTTGTTTTTGTTACGTTCTTTGTTTGAAATGATATAACCCACTTTCGGAAAGGGTGAGGGAACAAGTAATTCAATAAATTACCTCTCAGCAATGGACAGCTTCTCTGTGTTGAGTCCTGAAAAGCTGTACGGAACAGCAAATCTCAGCAGGTGCAGTGCTACCATGATGCATGGTTTAAAAGTACGTCTGCCAACATTCCCCCTTCTACACAGCTAACTGGGGCACAGGAATCTTTATTTGGATCAAGACTCCACCTTATGCCACATGGTAGTTCAAAAGCAAGAAACTGCAAGTAGATAAATAGGTACCACTTTGGTGGGAAGGTAACAGCGTTCCGTGCACCTTGGTGTTTAGTCATGCCGTCCACATGACCACGGAAACGTCTTTGGACAGCGCTGGCTCTTTGGCTTTGAAACGGAGATGAGCACCGCAACCCTAGAGTCGGACTCGACTGGCTTTCGAGCAAGGGAACCTTTACCTTTTACCTAGAAAGGTCTTGCTGTTTTTAACCAATCTATTATCATGGCGGCCTCGACATTTTCAAACCTCTCCTTTTGTTCAATGGCCTAGAACAACCCTGAGGGGTTCTGGAAACTGGAGGAGCAAGAAGCTACAAAAACCAGAGGAAGTGGAAGCTACGGATTCTTCAAAAATACGAAAGACTTACTGCCAGGCCCATCAGCATAGTTTCTCCCACCGTGATCTGAATCCTGAGCCCAAACAGGGCATTCATCCCCTTCAGCTTCAGCTTATTCATTAGCTGTGTGTGCACTTCATATTCCATAAAGGGCAGCAGGTTACTGATGACAGTTGCGTTTGCCTCCGCTTGGGCTTTCTTTTTCAACCGACACAGCCTGTTGAGGTGGGCAAGAGTGGTTACCTGGCCTTAGAACAACTTGCCAATGGTTAAGAAGATAAACGTCGCAGAAAACTGTCACCTTGGACATGGGGCTCCTCTACACTCTCATTTTCATCACTTTGTGCGCCCCGTTGCTTCAGGGTTCTCACACACACACACACACACACACACACACACACACACACACACGTTTCGTTCTCTCTAATGGTTGCTTCAATATTACATACCAAAGTGACCACTAGAGGGAGCAAAACATGTGCGGAAAAGGCAAAATGAAGCCACAGGGACACACAAAGCAATGAAAATGAGAGTGTGGGAAAAGCCCATGGTTTCCACACAGAATGCCACACTCTGACATAAGGGCTCTTCGGGGCTTTTTTCCTGCTGCTGATGGATCAAGCTGAAGGTAACAGACTAAGTTCAACAGTGGCATACACCAATTTAACAGATGTCTCAAAAAACAAACCCAATAACAAGGCATCTTGCATGTATTAGCAGCTTGCATATATTACACTGCTTGGCTATATAAAAAAAAGCAACTCTAAGTGGTACCAAAAGACTTCTGCTCATAAAGCTATGTGTGTTTTAAGCAACAAAAACTAAAACTTCATAATATGGCTGCTCCCTAGAAGATGCCCAGTCACTATCAGCAGGCTGCATCAGTCAGATGTACTCAGGATTCAACTGATCCCCCCCCTCCAAAATTCTCTGAATAAATGCTTAATTAGCAATATTTTTGCTTCCTGCAGTTTTCCCTGTTTGATATTTTAAACTACCAGCAAGCCACATCAGTCAGACTTACTCAGGATTCAGTTGATCCCCCTCCAAAATTTCTCTGAATAAATGCTTCATTAGCAATATTTTTGCTTCCTGCCGTTTTCCCTGTTTGATATTTTAAAATACAGAAGCAGTAAAGAATGCAGTTTTCAATTCGATTTTGTAGAACAATGTCTTTCTATGTACAGCCAAAGCTACTCAACTCTAAATTCAATGAGATCTAAAACGTACCAGATGTGCTTCGGAGCGTTAACCTTAGGACAGGCAACAATATGTCCAAAAGCAGAAGCAGCTTGCCTGAACAGGAAGACTGAAACTACCAAGACCTCCTGCTGCTGGTAAAAGATGCCTTTAGATATCGCTATCAAGCCACATTCATCAACACTGAACGAAACCACAAGACACAGTTACCCAACAGAGCCATTCAAGACAGCCAAGCAAACTTGGCAAAAAGCTGTACCTGGCTTGAATGAGACATCCCTTCCCGATCACCAGTGCATCTGCAGGCAGATCCATCGTCGTGAAAAGAACATCTGGGACCTTTTGTTTCCTGCAGCTACAGCAGTACGTGAGGTGAGCAGGAAATGGCATGTTCAGCTCGTCGTAAGGTATGTGGCAAAAGCCACAGCCTGGAGGCGAGGTTTCCTCTAACCTAAAGGAGACATTGTGAGAAATCTAGTATTACCATTCAGGCATCGCTCCGTGAAGGAATTCCACAGTCATGTATACAAAGATGCTGCAGCCCTGGCCTGTGGAAGCCGTACATACAGAACGTCAAGTTTTGCCTCCCGTTTTGCATTTGCTTTAATTGACCGATACTGTTAAGATAAACGAGGCTGGCCCCAAATCATGGCTCCCTGGGTCGGGAGAACAGTGCAGGGGGGCACAGCATACTGCCCTGTTGTACTGTGGGTCCCGAACCTGATTACAACCCGCCCACATACCTGAAAATTGAGTTTTAAAGCAGAATCGCTGAGAGCTCGGATTCCCACCACACATCTATTTGGGCCCTCAAGAGAGTTAGGAGCACCTTGCAGTGCACAGGGTCATATCCCACAGATCTGCTCTGCTAGAGGGGGCTCTGCTGCATCAAGGAAAAGACTACTTGCCCGGGAAGAAAGCATCACAAGCTAGCAGAAAAGACCTGTGGGATCCAACCCATAGTGCCTCCCATTTTGGACACGGGCACACGATCTGCAATGTGTCACCTAGCACCAAAGGATGACGGTCGGAATATCTCAGAATTCTCACAAGGCAAAAAAAGATTCCACTGCCACCTGGACAAGTTGCATATTATCTGCCTCCTTTGTTTTTAAACTGTCACGGGGTATATGTATTTCGCCCTGCTCTGAAAGAAAATCTTTTGTCAGCAAGCCGGTCCCAAAAGCATACGCTTGGTTCAAGCCTTGTTGAGCCCAGCAAGCAGACGAATTTAAACGTTCAAAATATTTAGAATCCTAAGACGCTGTTCACATGGCAGTATTTCATCATCAAAAGCCATTTGCCACATGGCTGTCTCTGACCAATCCATGCAGCCTGGTGCTTATACAGAATCCCCTCCTCAATATTAGAAGAACTGGCACAATTTATTTTCTCTAATGTATAAGACAAGACTGAATAAACAACTGATCTCAGTTTTGGGGAATGACTCCTATGGGAGGGCTCATTGAAAAGAACAGCATATATAAAATTTAAAATCACAGCAATATCTGAATTTGTAACAGCAGGAAGAATTGAACAGTATACTCTTTTTTTTTTTAAGGGCACAAGAAAATAAATATAATAAGCAGGTCTGGTACAGCTATAACACTACTGATTTCTTAACAATGGACTGGGCCACAGTGCATTTCGTATTAATGAAGGTGACTCAATACAAGAACTCGTGGGCACTCCATGAAATTGCTGAGCAGTCAGATTAGAACGGATAAAAGGAAGTCCTTCTTCACCCACAGAGTGATTAACACATGGAATTCACTGCCACAGGAGGTGGTGGCTACAAGCATGGACGGCTTCAAGAGGGAATTAGATGAGCACATGGAGCAGAAGTCCATCAGTGGCTATTAGCCACAAGATATAGATAGGAACTCTTGGTCTGGGGCAAGTGATGCTCTGTATTCATGGTGCTTGGGGGGGGGGGGCAACAGTGGGAGAGCTTCTAGTGTCCTGGCCCCACTGATGGACCTCCTGATGGCACCTGGTATTTTTGGCCACTGTGTGACAGAGTGTTGGACTGGATGGGCCTTGACCTGATCCGACACTGGCTTCTCTTATGTTCTTATGACTCAAATGGCAGTTGCCAGTTACGATGAAAAGTTGCTACTGGGGAAAAAAATAAACCTGCAGGAAAAGTACTGAAATGCAGTGATGTAGTGAGAAGTATTTTTTTCTTTCCCCCCCCTGTCAAGTCACAGCTGACTTATGGCAACCCCGCGGGGTTTTCGAAGGCAAGGGAAGTTCAGAGATGGTTTGCCATTGCCTGCCTCTGAGTCAGGGCCCTGGTATCCTCTCGGTGGTCTCCCACTCAAATACTAACCGGGGCCGGCCCTGCTTAGCTTCCCAGGTCTGACAAGATCAGGCTAGCCTGGGCTATCCAGGTCAGGGCAGAGGTGGATACACAGAATAATTTAAACTGTGCAGAGTCCAAGCCAGCAAGGGCACTGGTGTGCAGCACGGCTTCATTAGCCCTGAAAGATTTCACATCGTTGCTTTGTTGCCGTTGTTCAAGAGTGTTCAACATACTTATCATATATAAATGTGTGTGTATGTATATATGTGTGTGTATATATAAACAGTTGCCACAATTGGATAAACATATGGAGCAGAGGTCCATCAGTGGCTATTAGCCACAAGGTATAGATAGGAACTCTCAGGCTGGGGCAAGGGATGCTCTGTATTCTTGGTGCTTGGGGGGGGGGGAGCAATGGGAGGGCTTCTAGTGTTCTGGCCCCACTGGTGGACCTCCTGATGGCATCCATGACGCCGGATCCAACACTGGCTTCTCTTATGTTCTTATGACAGTTGATAATCAAGTCCGGGCTTCAACAACTGAGACTGTGGAAAGGGCATCTGTACTCAAGGGCACTACAGGAGTAAAATACGGCGGAGGGGCAAAGAGGGGAAAAGCGAGAGAGAGAGAACTGTAATTATGGGGTTAGTAGTCAAACAGGTTACCTTATTCAGGCAGTTAGAAAATTTAAAAACACAGTAAGAGACTAGTGGGTCGGTGCAAAGCTCCACAACTTCTGTTGATGTTAGTGGGGGGGGAAAGCAGTACAGTGGTTGGCCCCGCATCTCCTGTACTGTAACACTGGTAACCTACCCTAATAGAGAAGAACTATCCTGGTTTTGAGGAAAAAAATCAACCTCTCCCTTCTCTGACCCTATGGAAAAGTAGCCAGGCTGCCATGACAACCTTTGTTCCAAACAGACTTCCGTGGTGCCGTCCTGGAGGAACCGAGGGTTCAGCATGGCTGCCGTGCCGGAGGCGGACAAAATACAGACCTCTTCGCTGCAAAAGAAAAGAACGAGAAAGAGATGAAGGCACGTGATGGCGGGCGGCGTACCTTCTCAGGTGTCCTTTCCCTGGATTTAACAGCCCAAAGGCCATGGCGCCCTCGATATAAACTCAGTCAGATGTACAGAAACGATGTACCAAATAAAGCAAGGCCCACCGTGCAACTTTTTTTAGTTTGTAGGAAAGTAAGCATTTCAGTTTCTGAACATCTGGAAAGCTTGCCAAGTGTCCAATCCAGGGAGTAATATATTTATCACAAGGCTTTTTAAAACAACAATATAAAAAAGAATGAAATATACAGTCTGGTATATGAGAACAAAAAAACCCATCTGTGGTTTTCTGAAGGGAGATTTTTAAACTGTCCCATTTCTTCCCAATGTACCTTATTTAATAAAAGTGTGGGAGTGGGGAAACAACCACAAAAAAAGAATTCAGAGTGAACAATTATTTATTTTCTTAATTGCAAACAAGTATTAGCCACTCTTCTTCCTTTTGGAGCTCAATAGGGATAAAATACAGAACATAGGCTGCGGTCACACGGAGCAGTAGCCATGCTGCATAGACGGAAGATCGGCAGACTTTCCAGGCGCGATCTCACTGCAACATCTGGGGAGCGTAGAGCTCCCGCGGCAGACCCGTGCCTACCCTCCGAAGACATGCAGTAAAAAACTAGTACCTTCGAGGTACTCGTTTCCAGGAACCACACAGCAAGGGCGGGCGCCTGATCGCGTCCCTGCCAGACTCCCGTAGCTTCCGGCGCCCGCCGGGTTGTTCCCTCCCATGCCTCAAGAAGCGCCCAACAGCGCATGCGCACAAAGACACGCAGCGTCGCTGGGGTCGAGGGAGGGCCACGGGGGGCTGCGATAGGGGTGAGCAGCAGCAGCCAGCCAGGTGGAGAGCGGGCCGCGTGTCCCGGGGAGGCCGGGCGGGCTACTGGTGGGGAGGGGGGATCTGGCGGGTTACTCCCCCCTCCCCTCCTTGTGAGCGGCCCATGGACCCTGCCCGGAGTGGGCTGTGCACGGCCCTCCCAGAGGCGGCGGCTCGTTCGGTGGAGGTGCGGATACTCGTGTGATCGGCACCTCCGCCCAAACCACGGGACCTCGCTGGGACGTCTGATCCCGCAGCCGCGCAGTATTTTGCCCCAGGGCAAATAGCCACGCCTCCCCCCCCCCGCCGCATTTTCCGGCCCGTGTGGCAGGGGCCATAAAATACATAAAGACAAAAATTTTAAATCACATTTTAGGACTACTATTAAATTTAATCCCATGAAGCTGCCTTATACTGAATCAGACCATTGGTCAATCGAAGTCAGTATCATCTACTCAGACCGGCAGCAGCTATCCCTCCAGACTCGGCAGAGCTCTTTCATATAATTTACCTCCTGATCCATAACAGGAAATGCCAAAGAATGAACCTGGGACGTTCTGCAAAGCAGAGGTTCTGCCACTGAGCCACAACCCCTCCCCTAATAAAAGGCAGTCCTAAATAAAACAATCTTCAGCTGCCTCCTAAAGATCGAAAGTGAGGGGGCCAAGTGCACCTCCCCGGGGAGGTTGTTCCATAATTGTGAGGCTGCCACTGAAAAGGCCCTGTTGTCATGTATCCACCAGATGAGCTTCTTTGAACAATAGGAAGTCGGGAGGCCTGGGCGGTTAATTGGGGGGGGGGGGCGGCCACGAGATGCCCCACTGTAGCTATGGGCTTGAGAAGGGGTCTCAAGTGACCTTAATCACCAAACAGAAGCATACAGGAGAGGACAGTCCTTCAGATACCCCAGTCCCAAGCTGCATACTGCTTTAAATTGTTATAAAACCGTGTCGTCACTTAAGTAAAGATTCCTTCATGGCATGGAAGCTTTCACAACATATAGCGGTACTGCAGCCAGCACTGTGTCCCCAATCTAACCAAGTAACTAAATAGTGTTGCTGCTGTGTTGGTTTCAATGCAGCTGCCCAGCCTAAGAACAAGAGAGATTCATGGAGGGTCTGTCTATCAATGGCTACTAGCCACGGTGACTGAGGGGAACCTCCACATTCAGAAGCGCTAAGCCTCTGAACCGCAGAGCCAGGAGGCAACGTCAGGGGAAGGCCTCAGCCTCTGTGCCTTCTTGTTGGCTGTTCTTTTTTTCTTATGCTCCCTTTCAGGGAATAGCAGTCAATGCCAGAACAACAAATCTTCCCTGCAGGTCTCTGATAACACATCTTCCTCTCTACCCAGGGTCTGCAGCTAGCAGATCTGTCATTCTGTACTCCTTAGATTCAAGGCTGACTCACTGCTTCAGCCTTGTAGAGACCCTGCTTGCCACAATAATTATCCAAGGCTTCTTTTCCTGCTACTCCACTCTCTATGGAGGAGGTGCTCTGTTGCTTTTGCTCTTGGGCGCGGGGGGGGGGGGGGGGGGGGGGGAAATCAAGCCGTCATAGTGATTTACCAAATGCTAGTCGATTCACTGTAGCCCACTACAGCGTGACAGCCCAATGCCTTGGCATGGGATTTTATTTCTTGTCTGATCTCTGCCCACCATGCGTCTCGCGTCTCTGGATCATCTGAAAGACAAAAGATAAATCAGTTCACTATTCCGCACTCTGACAAATGCTACGAGTGTCTGGCTCAAGAGAAGACGCTGCTCAAGAACAGCTTTTGGATTTTTATAACTGTCACCCTGACAACTCTTCTTCCTACCGATCTATCTATGTGCAAGTTAGCAAACCATGCGTTTTCCGGCGTGTCGCTTCTTCTTGACCCCTCAAAGGACACAGGGTTTTAGAGAATGCCCTTGCCTTCCCCCGTATCATCAGCTTTGCCCAAAGGAAGGCAAGAATGATACTATACCAACACCCTGAACTTTTTTACATATCAAGATTACACGTGCATATCATGCTTCCAATTGAGTTAGCTGTTGAAGAACTGGACTGCTTAATTCCTTGGACAAAATCCTCCTTAAACTAGCAAGGGAAATGCATTAACAATGGTTTACCAAAAAAATCCATTTGAAGAGTGTTTTGTTAATGCCAAAGTTGTTAAGTCTTAAAACGACTCACTTTGGAGTGGTTGTCTAAAGTCCAGGGAGAGAAGACAAGGCAGAGGTCCAGTGGGAAAATATATTTCATTTATCACGGTGGGAACGCGCAGGGGGATGGCTACTCTACAGATCCTCTGATGAAGCAGCATGCGAAATGTGTCAGGATCTACAAACATAAATAAAATATACTTTCCTGCTGTACCTCTGCCGCTTCTTCTCTTCCTGAGCTTCCGTATTGGGTGAGGACCCCTTCTCAGGCCCATAGCTACAGTGGGGCGCCTCGTGGACGGGCCCCCACAATTTACCACCCAGGCCTCCCGACTTCCCATCTGGCTGGTTTATTTTTAGTGTACGCCATGGCCTAGCCAAGGCACTGCCCTGCCCTGCCTGCTGGCACCCTGGCCCCTCTCTCTCTCTCTCTCCGTGTTGCTTTTTTAAATTTTATTTTCCACGCACGCCACAGCCATGTTGTCACCCTGCCCTGCCTGCCGACGCCCTCCCCCCTCGCCTCCCCTCTCTCGTGTCACTTCTTAAAAACTTTTACTTTCTCATCGCTCCTGACACAGCCCAGGCATTTGTGTGCAGGGGTGCCCCTGACTTCTTTAAATGCCCTCCTGAAGTCAGAAATCCTGGCTACGCCCCTGCCCCTTCTTCTGTTTTTGGATACTGGTCATGCTGAAGGCCAGTCTTGCTAAACAAACGCAGGGCCGGAATCTACAACCTGATTCCTGACCAACTGATCTGCAAAGTGATCCTAACAATTGTGACAGACCTTGCCCCCAAGTAATGATGTTCGGAAATAGTTCTTAATATTTAAAACAAACGGCCTACAGCTGCAGATGTGTGGGAGGGGGAAAGGGAGGGAGGTCACTTTTAAGTCCACCATACCCACCAAATTAACAGTGGTTGAATTCTCTACAGAATTTTTTAAAAAAGAAATGCTTTTTGCAGTAAATGCTTGCTACAATGAAATCTTGTTTATAAGCAGAGGGAGGGGGGGTCCAAATGGCTCTGGACTCAGGGCTTTAAAAACAGAAAAAGCAGAAGCCACTGTCTTAATGACAAGTTTCTTTTGAAACGCAGAGGAATTTCAAAAGCAATTTGTGATCCAGCATGGTAGCCAGGTGCTCAAACAGGGGAAAAAATAATCAAGAATTCCAGTGATGTAGCACAAATCCTTTGCTTTAAGCCTAAGTAGCCCCTTTAGATCTCACAGGAATATTGGTCCAACAGCCATCATCAACAACAAAAAGTGTGGAAACTTTTTAATATACAGCTCTCGGCATACCCACTATAGAAAGTACCAAGTTAGGAGTGGAAAAATTGTATTGTTTAATTCCTTGGAGTGAGAAAAAAAAAAATCCATTCTTATTTTCCAAAATTTGTTCCCCCTCCCCAGGGAAGAGCAAGAGTCCAGTAACCCCTTAAAGGCTAACAACATTTGTGGCAGGGTATGACCTTTCCTGAGTCTATTCTGTAGTATTACGTCAGCAAAGCAAAGAACTGCATTTGCCAGCACTGTGACTCTTGGGAGGGGCTGTGGCTCAGTGATAGCACATCTGCTTGGCACACGGGGCCTGTCGAAAACCCCAGAAAGCCGCTGTCAGTCTGAGTGGACAACACTTATTTTGACTGACCCATGATCCATCATGATTCAATATAAGGCAGCTTCATGGGTCCATGGAGTGCCCCCACTAAGCACTACCTCGTGTAGAGATAACCCAAATCTACAGAACTACTTTTACACTGGCACTGAAATCTGCAGAAAGTACACCTAGCCCGAGCATCCCACCCATTCCCATCACTTCCTACCATCCTGGATCACAGGCATCCAAACTGGTTTGCCAGCTGAGCTCATCTGCTAGGCAGTGATATTTGCCTGGGGGGAAGAAGAGCAGTGCAAAGCATGCCAGATCTTTCCTGTTCTCGAATCGTGAACGGGTAACATAAGCCCATAGACCTTATTCAAACTCCAGAGCCATTCCACAGGCCTGCGTGGCATTATACTGCCACCATGGCTGACTAAGCCACTTGTTTAGGGAGTCTTCTTCTTCTTCCTGGAGTAAAAATTGTGAAGGGGAGAGAAGAGAAAAGCAAAAACTAGAAGAAAATATACCCTTCCCCAGAAGTAGTCATTGGGGGAAAGGTATGCTTAGGTATTATGGTTACCTTAGCTTGTTCTCTTTCTAACGAGGGTGTTATCTGTAATTACCGATCACATCAAGGTACCATATTTCTAAGTCTTAAATTTCAAAACATTTTACTGCTTGCTAAGTTTTTCAAACATCATTTTGCATTCTGAAAGGAGCAAAGTATGCTTGGACCAAATAAAAAAGTACATGGTGAATATATTCCTCGTTTCCCCCCAATTTGTCCCCCCAGGGAACAGCAAGAGTCCAGTAGTGCCTTCAAGACGAACAAAATTTGTGGCAGGGTATGAGCACTCGTGAGTCACTGCTCATTTCTTAGTGAAGTCATACACATTTTGTTAGTCTTTAAGGCGCTACTGGACTCTTGCTCTTTTCTACTACTACAGATAGACTAACCTGTCTTGATCTACCTCCTAGGAAATCTGCCTATCACATATACCCGCAACCCAGCTTCGAAGTCTGCAGGAATTTTATATCTGGAGTGGGTGTGGTCTTGAGGTGTAACAAGACAGAAGTCACAATGCATGCCTGAGCAAACTGGTGTGAAAAAAGCTATATAAAAACCCTATGGGCAGCTTTAAGCTCTCAGTAATACACTGCTCATAAGAACAGTAAACTTGGCAATCCCTGATTTCAGGCTGCACTGACACTACCCAGCGCATCTTAAAGCATATCAATACAGTATCACTTTCCATATTCAACTACCTATAATTAAGAAGGAACAGGATATACTGAAAAGCTAGAACAATGCTGTCTTAAAGTCTGATGAGAAAAGATCACATTGTCTTATAGTTAATGCAGTGAGTTTAAAATTCTGATTGTTGAACATCAAGGCAACAATTCAGAGGCCTGGGAGGAAGTTCCTTGAGGCTACATGTTACCCTTTCTGCCCTCGCCAGGGCAACCATGATGGCTAACAGATTAAAAATTATGCATTACAAAAACACATCCTAAAAACTACAGTGAAAATACACATACAAATACATTAAAAAAATTAAAACATAGGGCAGGAAGGAGGAATCACTGAGGGAACACTAGATGAAACTAAAAACCTCCACCTGGGACCGAAGACAGCAACAGCAGAGGACAGACAAGTCTCCCTGGGGAGAGGGCTGCTGATTTGGGGTGCCACGACCAAGAAGGCCCTCCCCCAGGCCCTGCCTAACCTCAGAAGGTGAGGGAACCTGAAGCAAAGCCTTCAAAGGATAGCATAATGAAGGCATTGCTTCAGGTTCCCCCACCTTCTGAGGTTAGGATAGCATAGTGGGTCTTCCGGTTTATGGCGACACGCTGGCAGACGCATCTCCCGGACCTCCCGGGGATGTGATCTGCGCACCAGCGGAAAGGGGGGGTGACGGGTCGCTACCCTCCCCCGGAGCCTTGGCAAAAGGCTCCTAGCCATGGGGCTTTTGAGGGGTGGCCTCTTCGCCAGCACGATACCGGGGAATTGAGCCACTCCTCCGCCCCGACGGTCCTGCCGCTGAATGTCCGTATGGATCTAGAGCTGCTGACCATTCAAAATAAGGCAAAAGAGAAAGAAATATAAAGATTTAATCCTTTTTCTTCAAACAAACAGCATTCTCTACAGATGGTTAATTCCAGAAGGAGTCATTTTCAAACTACAAGATAAAAAAGAAAAGATTGACTCTGTTTCTAAAGCACGTGAGTTCCTGAGAGTGCAGCTGGGAGAGCCAGCCGAGGTCGAGAAGGAAGAAGATGACAGCAAATCCAGTGGCGAATTGGACTCTGGGTCTTCCGACGAGGACTCTCTTTCTGATAAAGGGGCAGCTGCCCCCAAGCGTACATATAAATTGAGGATTAGAAAAGATAAGACAAAATGAAGGCTGAAGGACTCTGAAGTGTGCCTTTAAACTTTAGTTTTATTGTGGGATGCTCTGGGGGTTCTCTTGAATGGTTAAAATTTTGGATAAAAAGATAAAAAATTTAGCATAGCCGACTATGTTCAAAGTAATATTAGCAATTTAACATTTATACAAGCTGTTGTGATGATCTCCTATTCTTGGGGTTTTAGTTAGTTGTGGTTTTCTTTCTTTTCTCCGTAGATGTAGTTACCCCTTCCCAATTTTTCGTTGTAGCTTGTAGTATATAAAAAAATGCAATAAAAAATCCCCTACGGGGAAGAAAAAAAAAAGGATAGCATAATGGTTGGGTAGGTTGTAAGGGAGTAGGTAGCCCTTCAGGTATTCTGGTCCCAAACCATATAGGGCTTTAAAGGTCAACATCAGCATAAGCATTGTGCTTGGGAACAAACTGGAAGCCAGTGTAGATGAACCAAGAGTGATATGGTCTCTACTAGGGATGGGCACAAACTGGCTTATGAACCTAAGTTCATGATGAAAATCACCTGGTTAGT